AGTCTACGCTAAGGTCAGACGAAATATATAGTTTTGCCACCGCACCCTTTGTGGATCGTGGCACTTGTCTAATTTGCCCGTGGGACACCGGTCTCGTGCTCTGCTCGCGCAGATTCGCAGCATGGTTGCCGCGCGTGCCAAAATCTTACAGCTCCCACGACGCATGCGGGCTGCGGCGGGGTGACAAAACTGGCTGGTGAGGTCGGTCTATTGCGGGTTGGATGCGTTAGAGCCTGGGTGCAAAAGCAAAATGTTCGCACTTATTTTTTTTTACATGTGGTTTATGTTGTGCGGGCCACACAGAAACACTAGCCTAGTCTAGTTTTTCTGGGCTGCCGACAGAAAAGCCAAGAAGATTATTTTTGGAACGAATGAATAGATTTCAAGATTGCGCCTTTTGGCAGTTTTTGAAGCTCCGTTGGAATGCCACCCCGTCATTGGCCTCTGTTGGCGGCTAGATGTTTTGGTGGCGCCCTCCTATAGTTACCTCTCGTGACGTCATTACCTTGCGAACCACAAATTCGATGGTGTTTGTAATGAGCATGGTGGAAGCTTGAAATCATTGCGCTCTCAAAGCAACACTGCCAAGACCGTCAAAATTGAAGTTCTTACATCACTCTTATTTCCGTCGATGAGAAATCCTTTGCTGAGGTCATAGTCAGCATTCGGCCAATCGTAGAGGGCCGATCACAGCGACGCTTTCGATCACTGACGTCACCAATAGTTTGTCTCACCTTTCATGGACTAACTGCGACGGCTGTGCAGGCTCGAGAGGCCAGTCTCGCCTGCCTTGACTGGAGCACTTGCTGTACGAGCGCTCGTGCAGCCGCCGAGGCTTCGTCCAAAGCAACTACCTCGCGCTTTTAGCCTGCGCTGCTAACAATAGTCCATGGTAAGGTGAGACGAAGTATAGACAATTGCAAGCATGGCGCCACAAGTGGTGCCCCATGCATGCAAGCGCGTGCAACGCGCGGGTGAACGTAGCTTTGGCAAGCTCGTAATCGCACGGGCGTGCCTGCTCGAGCAGAGACATGGCGGCGGCCAGTCGCCCAGCTTGCAATCGTCTATAGGAACCAGTGCTTCTTCGCGGCGGTATGGTTCGCTCGTGGAGTTACTTAGCCCTGAATGTTACTTGGCGTAAAACGCTGGCCAGTTTACTACGTTGTAATGTTAGAGCTTTCACACTGCTTCCGTAACGTGCATCCCGCACCATCAAGATCGCCGTTCTTTTCAGACGTTATGTAGGAGCTTGATCCGAGGATGCGGGGACCTTTGCCAAGCCAAACATACTACTCCCCCCTCCCCCTTCCCCGCACACGCTGTGAATAACGCACTCAAACATGGCACCTAGTGAATACCTTATCCGCCTCGCAACTCGACTTCGTCGTCAGCGTCGCCGCCCACTGTTGACCCTGGCAAGTTTCTTGGCCCTATTTTTCACAGAAAGAGAGGTACGCGTTCTAATTTTGCAAGAAAACAGTTCGAGGACAACTAAGCACTTCTTAAGAGTTGTGAATACGAAAGCACGAATGTCGTTTTTTCCGCTCCCTTAGTTCGTCTGGGGCGTACTGGCGTGGACGGCCACGTTTTGCTACTGCCAAGGTAGCGGCCAATGCCCGAGCGCGCGCGCTCGTGAAGTGGCTGCGCCGCGCTGAGCTGGGCCGTGCAGCCTTTCCGGAGTTTGCCCGAGCGGGCTGTGCGGCAAGGCCCACGCCTTTTAGCGGCGGCCGGGCCTCTGCGTGCTCTGCGCCGCCATGGAGATGGCTTCTCTGGTGGTCGTTTTTTGGAACTACGTACGGCGAGAGCCAATCGGAGCCTCGTTCCTTGATGACGCGCGCCAGCCAATGGGAGCCTATCCATCAGATCGCGACTTCACTTTTCTCCATTGGGACAGAGGAGCTTAGGTGCCCTTTGGCCCGGCTTCAAAGCTCATGACGTCGGTTCGCTCCATGGGACAGTTAATGCTTTCGCATTAAGACCCGACCTGTGACATACACCTTTCACGTAAAGTTTAGATTGCTACCTGCAGACGCCGATTTTTACGGCCCATTTTAGATTCAGCCAGATGACTTCAGTCACAATATACATAGGGGTTATTCACTGGACGCCATATTTGAGGGCACTATTTAGAGCGCACGCTCAGAACAAGCCCATATAAATAAGACCGGCAATGTTGATGGTGCGGAATGCACGTTGCAAAAGAACTGTGGAAGCTCACCATCAGCACACGCTCAGAAGTTGCGCACACAGCTTTGGCCGCCTGTGCATACTGCCTATAACTTGCATGTGTCACCATTGCTGGGCACTGATGCTTATTTCTACTTATTGGCACCCTCAAGCTTCTACTTCTGCGGTGTAAAACTAATGCAGTGAACTGAACGCTCCAGGCACATACAGTACGAGCATGGCCGGGAATGATGTTACAGGCAAGCCAGCTATAGGGGAGTACGGTCCTCAGATATTACTACTAAGCGAGATTGACGCGCTGACGCCGCCAAGGAGTACTGCTCGCAACTACAGTGTCCTTCGCCATGCAGAGACCCTTGACGTCAAGAGCGCAATACGCATTGCGCTTCTTGCTTGCTGATTTTGAAGTGAGAGGTACAATTATGGCGGTCACGTCATTTAGGTTCCTTACTCCTTCAAAAATAGCACAAAAAATAAAACGATTGTTTTTAACGCGTCGACGAGTCGCGTGAACTGCCCGTGCCGCAGAGGACGCGAGCTCCGCCCCTCGGCCGACCTGTCTACTGCGGTGAACGAAGATTGTGGAATCACGGCTGCTGGAGCGGCGTCTATCGTCGGTTCAGACCGGAGCTCGTCGCTTTGAAGCAAGCAAACGAGCAGGCAAGCAAATAAGAAGGAACGCTCGTGCGCACTGCGCGGGTTTCGGCAGCAGGCGGTGGTGCAGTTCGGTCGGCGCTCCGGTGTTATCCAAACTTCTGCTCCCCAAAAGTACATACATTTCAATTTTAACGAAGTAAAAAAAACAACAACACAAAAATGCTTTCTAGCTTGGGAAAATAAATATGACGCAATCTCAGTCGCCCGTCACCTATACTGGTACTAGACCGTACCCCAGAGGGCTATGCAGGACGGCGTCCCGCCTCGTCCCGCGATCATGCATAACCCCGCTGGACGCCATAAAATGCAGTGGTTGCGACGTAGCGTTGCTTGCGGGAGAACAAACTCGCTAACGTCTGGTTTCTATTTTACGATAAACTATACAGGGTGTCTGATTTTGATGCGAACAGATTTCTTTTTAAATGGGTGAGAGTTAGAAGAGCGTCGTTTTCACCTTGTAGTTATCAGGCTCGGCGGAGATTAGATGATGGAATAATCGTCATGATAAGTGGGATAACGAACTAAGATAGGTTCGTTAACTTTATTTGTTAGTTATATGGGTCATGTTCTGATTTCAGCATTGACGGCAATTAATATTAGATGCAAAACCGATTGAAGAAATTTGCGCAAATCTAATATTCTAAGATCTAATATTTAATCGAGAAAATCTCGGGTTTCAGCCTTATATAAAAATGGCGCGCAAAGAGAGCGCCTCAAGCCCTGTCCAAAATGAGGCCTGAAATAGTTAAGTAGTGGCTGGAATCAAGAAAAATATCTGATCGTCGTGACAGCGTTCTGGCATCGGTGCTAATCTGCCAGCATTGTGGCGTGGTATACGTATTACCTAATATGAATACTGTAAAACCCTTAATGTTCGCGAGCCCTCAATTTTCGCGAATTTCGCGAATTGACGAATTCGCGATATTTAAGGGCGCGCGAAAATTTTGGTCCTTAAGATTTTCAATCCAGGCGTCTGGAATTCGCGAAATTTAGTTGTCGCGATTATGTCATCTGTGACCGATTCGCGAAAAATAGGGGCCGCGAAAATAAAGGGTTTTACAGTACTCTCATTAACGCGCAACATTAAACGCAGGTGAAGTTGTCTGGAATTCATACTAAAAGGTATTTACACGGCAATAAAGCTTGTCTCTTAACAACGCACATCCAACAAGACTCAAGTTTGAATTGCGGAAATATAAACATAATTCTATGCATCATTTTTTTATATTTTCTCATCAGTCGCAATTCTGCCTTGCTGTTATACCCCGTTTCACCTTACGTCCGGACCCAGCGGATGCTACGAGCTGTCTTAGCCAATCCCGTTTTGTGGACGTGGCCCGTGATACGCTTTCCGAGCGTCGCTGTTCCCCCCCCCCCCCCCCCCTCCTCTCTGAGGTCACGTGACACTCACATGGCCTCCGATTTGCTCCGATGGCTCGTAACATCCGCTGAGCTTCAACGTAAGATGAAACGGAGTATAATAAAAAGAAGAAAACTAACAAATTTATTTTTGTAGAAAATCGATTCGGAATTTGCCAGATTTTCGATAAATTTTTTGCTTCAAATGTAACATGTTATGTTAACATACAATATTGAATATAAAACATGCATTTATATTCATTTGCCAAAATTCGTCAATGGAACACAGTTCGACGTTATTAAAAAAGGTATTGAAACATATAAAACAGTTATTTTTCTAATATTTTTTAAGCATAATTAAATCTATTTCAGGAATGTCACAAAAGCGTCCCAGTGCATTATATTGAGAAGTGAGAAAGTAGCGAGCGGTCAAACATGCGAGCCCCGACAGGTCGGAGAAACGTCCGTTTTCTCCGCGGTCATTTCAATGGTTAGTAACTCGAAAACAAAGCAATCCGCCAAGCTTGCTGTTCGCGCTCTCTTTCATTTCAAGAATGCTCCCCAAAATATATTTTTGGGTGAAAATAGAAATTTGATATCAAAGCCGTGCATGAATTGAGATGAAATCACCCTGGGTTATGGTACTTCAGAAACAATAAGTTCTAAACACCGAATGTTGAAACCGGCGTACGCATCGGGAGACACTAAAGGTTTCAGTTTTCTACTTAAAAAACCGGAGTTAGAAACAGATGGAACAAAAAAAAAAGTTAATATAATAGCTCGGTCAAAAAACTTACCATACGCCACGAAGCAAAGCACGAGGAATACTTTCAGCAGAACCATGATCACTGTTCTCTTTCCCTCAACGTTATACCCAAGACAGTTTTTCGGCCCTATATATACTTATATATATTTTGGCATCATTCGACTAAATCAAAAGAAAAGAAATGTTTCCGGCTCGTAACCTTTGATTATTGGCGAGGCCTCACGCACTTGAAGGTGACTATTGCGTAGGTTTCTTATTTACTTCATTTGGTATGCCCTTTCCCTGATAAGGTTGCAGGTTCTCATCAGAGTCTAATATCACACGATTGGTTTGCAAATAACAGCCGGATCTTCGAAATCCGGCAGAAAAATATTGATAAAGGTTAAAAATGGAATGGACAGGCCTTTCATCTAGAAAATATAGAAGCAAGACATGTGAAAGCCGTATAGCGCCCCGTGTCTTATACGTGTGAAAACTTTTTTTCGACTTGTTTTATACTTCAGAAAGTCACTATCGAAGTGCAGTAGTTTATTTTTCATTTAGATATATAACATAAATGCAATCAATAGTCCAGTCTTCAAAAAAAAAAAAAAAAACACTGCCCCGAGGGTACGTCAACTCTAAAGATTGAAATGCAAGTTGTAGAAACAAACCGAAAATCGCGCAACATTTGGATCACATAAAATAGTTCCCTGCCGCTAAACAAACCAAGCGTGAGGCATTCATTCCGCAAAGCACGCAAACGCTATTTGAAATAAAAAAAAAAAAACACCTCATGGTTTTGTCGAATATTTTCCTTCTGTTTTCGAAAAAAAATGGCCTGGTACAAATTTCTAATGTTCGAGATTTTGCGCATTTTCGGTTGCTTATTTGCAAATGCGCCTTAAGAGCTGAAACATGCACAAAACACGAATCAAGCTTCAAGCTAAGCTTGCACTACATGGCTTGGACGTCACGCCATCGCACCTATGCTGGCATCCAGGCACGTAGCCAGGGGGGGGGGGGGGGTGGCCATGGGGCCCGGCCCTTCCCCCCCCCCTAAACCTTCCATTTTGCTGGAGCCTCCTCTCCCCCCTTCCCCTCCATACAGCATTTTATCATGGCCCCCCCCCCCCCCCCCCCCCCCCCCCCGAAACAAAATCCTGGCTACGTGCCTGCTGGAATCATTTACACCTGTTCTTTTCAATAAAACAATTTTGACGGTGCAAATTGCATACTCCAGGAAGAACGCTATCAGAAACAACGCCACGACAATGGCCGATAGTGTGAGCTCAGTGCAAGTCATGTATTACTTATTGGGAAAGAGGGTGTCCATCGTACCTAAATCCGAGAAACGTTTTCGTTGAAAGCTTATTTGAAATTTCTGTGCATTATATCATCCCCGCATGATATGTATCAAATAACCGTGCAGCCCATTGTGTCCACCTGAGAAAAGAACTCTTGCACGCAGAATGCGGTATAGTTTTTCTTTCGTTTCGTGCTGTCGTTTTTTTTTCAAGTTTGGGGGTGTGTTTTGTGGTATATTTTAACTCGATTACCTTTTAAAGGACACTTCTGGTTTATAGTTTCGATTTTAAGATAACGACTCTTGTTAGCGCAGTCGGCGGCCATAAATTACAAGGTGTAATTTTTTTTCTGGGTATTGCGCGTAGATTCAAGGTACGTTCACATCGGCGATATGGAGCAGTCGCGCGATGCGACTAAATCGCATCGCAAAAAAATGAGATGGTCGCATAGGATCTCACGATGAGCGAGTTGCGCATCGTTGCTTCTTGAAAACTCTCGCTCCGAACTCTTAGGTTTGGCTCAGACGCTCCTAGACTAGGTCGCATCGCAAAAAGTCGGGTCAACTAGCGGCTGCTCGAATCACGTCGCTTTTTCCCCGCGATGGTATTTTTTTGCGATGGAAGTTATCGCGCGGCTACATAGCATCGCCTGTGTGAACGCGCCTTTAAAGATTTAGACGCCTCAAAGTTTTGTTTAGGGCGTGGTCGACAAAACCGAAACTAGCCACTCGAGGAGACGTCAACACTGGAAATCAGCCGCTAGGCGGACGTGACGTGATGGCCGTTCTCGTCCATGCCTTGTTTCCGTGCAACGAGTACGCGTTCCAAGCGGTACCTACCTCTGTTGCGCTAGCCGTTCTTGGGCAGTAGTTACTAGAAACGCAGTACCGGTAACTAGTTATGAATAAAATAGTGCAAAACAACAAGGAACGAGGGACGAGGTAGAGAGGAAGGGTGCTGCCTCGTACTTCCTTCCTTGTTGTTTTGCGCCCATACACGTTTCGTGCCCCTGACACCGACCGGGCGGCTGAGCCGCCCGGTCCGTGTCAGGGGCACAAAAGGTGTATGGGCGCATGCCTTTCCCTGAATACCTGCACACCTGGCGGCACTGTGAAATAAAGTGCAATAAAATACAATACAATACAATAGCCCGCCAGCTCATCATATTGCGGTGAGTAGTTACTTTTTTCAGTAACTTGCAGCTTAACTCGTTACAGCTTAGCGAAAAGAACTTCTACACTCTTAAAAAAAAGGAGTAGTACTTCGTCCTTTTGTTGGACTAAATTGATGTCGCTGAGATTGATCCCCCTAAAACGGCAAAACCCCGGTTTAGTCCCTCCCATTTCTTTTGGACCCTTTGCATTGATCCCTTTAGATCGAAGTTTTGAACCGTTAAAACGAGTGTTTTTGATCTCTACAGCAGGGCATCAGGGACTAAGTTTGACTCTTCAGGGGATTAATTACGGTTCCCCTAGCGCCGTCGTGTCAACAATCGGGGGAATAACTTTGATCTCTTTAATGATCAACAGTAATATGATTGGGGATTATTTTTTCCACTTGAAGGGATGATATTTATAGTGACGGGGAAGTAACTTTGGTCCCTTTGAGGGCCAATTATTGACACTTTTAGGGATAAGTGTTACAGTATTTAGGGGAGTAATCTTCGTCCCTTTAAGGATCAATTTTGACACCTTTCGAGACTATTTTTATGGTAGCGAGGAAGCAACTTTCGTCCATTTGTGGATGAATTTTCAGTATTGAGGGAGCAAATATTGTCCCTTTGAGGATCAATTTTGACACTTTTAGAGATGAATATTACAGTATTAAGACAGTAACTTTCATCCATTTGTGGACAAATATTGCCACATTTAGAGACGAATTTTCTTGTGGTGAGACCCTTAAGCTGTGAATATGAGTGAAAGGTTTGCGGCATTGAATGGCTTCCTGTTCTGAAAAGGCAGATTGTGCAAGTTCTCTGAAGAGCTATCTCTTCTGAAAAGTTGCGCGAACCGTCTTTTCAGAACGGGAAGGTATTAGAAACCGCAGACCTTTCACTCCCGTTCATAGCTAAAAAGTAAAAATATTGCAGTACATCTGAAAAGTCGCACTCCTCTATTTGCAAGCAGCAACCCTCTGTTTTCAAAAAAGCAGCATCATGTCCTACCCCAATTTAAATGTTAATGATGCCCGCGAAGACTGAAAATATTCGGGCAACACTCGTGGAATTTAGAGGCAGGTTTTAACACCCAACATCACTGTTTTACTAAAAAAGTTGTACCAGCAATCTTTAGACAAAAATTAGCACTTTCATTATGGAAATATACTTATTCTGGAACTACATAACACAGGAAATAAAAACAATTTCACATAACAAGAAAGTGTGCAAAAGAAAATACTGCCCTCTTGGCACTAAAGTACTTGCCAAAATTTAACATGGCTTCCATATATAGGTGTGTTCAATGGTTCTTAGTGCTGCGGAACGAGCCCGACAAATTGGCGCCTGCACATTAAAAGCTAAAGCTTTCACTGAGTGCGCATGTTACTTATTTAACTTGTAACGAGTTCGCCTCCTCTCTGTAAAAAGTGAGACCAACTTGCCAGGGCCAAAGGTTGACATTTTTGTAGACGACAGAGTCGGCAATGGTTGTAAACTGTGACGTTATTTCATCGAAGCACAGATAGCAGAAGGCGCTTTTTCATCTGCTCGTTGTGCCTATTGTGGGTTGTAACCATCGCTAACTGTCGATCTCAAACATGACTGCAATTGGCACTGGCCACTGTGTTGGTCCGATTGTTTATGTGAAGGGAGCTACGCCTTGAAATTACTCCAAGAAAAATTCGCATTCGGTGGAAAGTTGAGCTTTTTACTTGCAGAGCCAGATTTGTCTAGCACGTTTGAGAGCACTTAAATTTATTGTAGGCATTATTTTTAAATTGTATTAATTTAAGAATAAGAAAACTGAGACAAACATACAAAGAGACAGTTCTTTTCGATGTTCTTTTTTTCCTTGTGTAATAAAAATGACACCTTAGTGAAAAAGCTTCCATTCATAAAATATGTGGCAGTAAAATGGCCCGTATATTTATAAAATAAAAAAGGAACCCTGGCATGGGTTTTCTACCTTCAGAGAATGCTCAAATTAAAATAATGCTCTATGAAATGCCAATGTATTCCTTAAAAGCATTAATTAAACAGGCACATTAGAGACATATTTTAGCAGCATTTGAAAAACAAAAAGATCTAGTACTTTTTGGTCGCCTTCAAATTCAGGTTGGTTAGAAGCCCTGTACCCATACAGCCCAGCTGTGTGTGCTTGACACCTACAAGTCTCTCGAAACAAATGTGCAACGATAAATAACAAAGTACTAAGGGTCGAAAACCCATGCCAGGCAGAAACAAAGTGCCACAAATACTAGAGGGCCTTCTGCCTCATAGGCTTGATTCTTGAAGAGCACACTGCAGCGCTCACTTGATATCCTGGGACACTCTGCGACGAGAGAACTGCTGGGCACGTTTGAAAGAAATGTTGAAAATTACAAAAAATCATAAAGTCGAAGTCTTTCTAACAAAAAAAGAGGACTACCCTGTACAGAAGACGCAGGTAACCGATGGACTAGCTGAAACAGGGACAGCTGGTACTCTCTAAACGTAACCTCTTAAACCAGTTACCCAAATATTGGTTTTGACAAATCGAAGCTAAGTTGGGCATTGCAGCGGCTGGAATATCTTCCAAGGGGCTGATCATGATCGGTTACTCAAACTTAACCACGCAGTTTGACTGGTAGGCCAA